AAGCTCCTGCGTCAGCAGCCTCTGCACACCCGAGCCTGGGACACAAGGTGCTGCTTTTGCTTCTGCATCTGCTGACAGTAGCAGAAACCTGAGGAATACAGTACCTTCTAGAAAAAGCTGCCATCTCACAGAATCACTACCTGATTTGGAGGGGTTTTGCCTGCTTGTTCRTTTTGTTTYGTGGTGRTTTTGTTTGTTGGGTTGGTTATTTTTTTTTTCTAGTAAGCCTGTACTTGAGGGTTTTTTTTCTTTTGTTTCCTTTCAAACATACACAATGTGCATTCTGGAATTACACATTTTTCCCCAAACAGGAGAGAGCAACATGATTGTGGGTCTGTCTGCAAGCATGAAAGTGGTTTATGTGGAGCACTTGTTTAATGGAAGTGAGGTTGATAACAGATGGATAGGTTTGTGATAAAACACCTTAGATAGGTCTAATTAGCAATGGGTTTAATTAATAAATATGAATATAACATATTCTCTTTCAATCTTAACTTTCCAGTTTTAATGCAATGTTCTGGTTTTGCATTAAAACCTGCAACCTCTGTTGTGAAAGTACATGTAGGGATTAGTATATGCTTAATCTATAAATTCATATTGTGGTGTTGAATGAATTATAAATTGCTGACTTGAGTGTAAAAGCTGGTCCATAGAAGTCTAAGAAATTTTCACATTAACAGTTGAGGATGCACATAACTATTGATAACAGGACTTGCTAGTGACAAGCAGGTACTTTGGATGCCAACGCCAGGATGTGCAGGTAATTAAATAAATGTATCTAGAAAGCTGCTCTCAGCAGTGCATGCTGAATAACTGATGTGACAGCACACGACGAGCTAAAATTCTAGAGCACTGTTGATCTGCAGTTGGAACTGGTAGCAAACTGTGATGCTCATAATTTATTGGGAGAGWTGTTAACTGTTTCTTTCCGTGTCCGGGTGTGACCTCTAAATATTCAAATATGCACTGAATAGGCTTAGTATTGTGGCCCATTCCTGTTAACTTCTACTTGGGCAATGTTGCATGTGATTGTACACACGACTGCTTCTCTGTGATTGTCTCCTTCATGGGACTCCTAAAAATGCAGAAATAGTACACAAATATGCATTTTATTTTTTTGTTTTAATAATTGAGAAAATCTGCCCGCATAGAACTCAAGAAACAGAGATATGAAGGAMTAGTTGTCCTTGCAAGTAGGCTGAAGGAAGGCATGTTTATTTGCATTTTCAGTTCAGGGACAAAGTTGCTTGTCCTCTTGTGTCTGCACAKGTGGCTGGGCAGTCCTGCCCATGGCTTGCATGGCTCATCTTGCGCAGCAGTTGCAGCCCTGAGCTGTTCCCTTCATATGACACAGGAATCTGAGTTCCCCCATTCTGCAAATGGGCCTTATGCTTATAGAGGAGATCCTCAAAGTGGCCAAAAACACTGCTAGAAACTGCATTTCTTCTGGGAATGCATGAGGGAAAAGATGCTGGAGAGTTTGTAAGGAGGTAGAGTGAGAAGCTGGAGTGTTCTTGGTAAGGATGTAACAGGAGGCTGACACTGACAGCCTAAAAACACTGCTTGGCTGCTTCAGCACATGGCAAGTACATRCTGTCCTGTATTAGGATATAGCCCTGCTCCCAGGTTGGTCACGTCTCCATCCACACTGTCTGCYACACCCCATGCCACAAAAGTTGTTTTATTGCATATGGATCCAGAGATGTRTACTACTTTTGACTGACACATGTAGCAGGAGGTATAAAAATAATCCCAGATGTGTTTTCTGGGGCTGGGAAACTTAAATGTCTCAGAAAACTGAGAAAATTAATCATAAATTCAGGATGATATCCCAACAGAGTGACCAAAAACATCTGGTGGATAAAGTTTGTGTCTCATCCAAGTGTACAGAGGCAGTTAAAGCAGTAAAAAAAAAAAGAAAAAAATAATTTGGTTCCTTGAAGGAGATGGGGAAAGGAAGGGGAGGCACTTAAGTGATTGTTTAAGAACCTGTCTTTTGAGAGGCATTACGATCAGGTAAGGAAGCAAAAATACAAAACATCTCTTCCAGTTCTGTGGTGTTATCAGGTGTTAAATAGGGCTCTGCCTCACTGATAAATATATGGGTACACACAGATGTGCTCCAGAGAGAGAGCTTTCTGAAAGTCACTCTGTCACATGTCCAGTAGTTTGATCCTGGGGAGATTTGATCTAAGGCAGAGGAAGAGCATAGGATCATCTGTGGAGGAGGGGGCACCAGTGAGAGGGCACAGAGCAGCAGCATCACACAGGGATTTTGGGCAGAGGAGCCCAAGGCAACAGARGTGACACGGGTGGGGCATTTTGACCTGAAAGGACAGCTGGTCAGTCAAGTAAAGAAACCAAGCAATGCTGGAGAGCTCATGTGAAAGCCCCAGGCTCAAAGGTCTGAGCCTAGCCAGGTCCAAGCCCCAGTCCATGGCCGCAGATGTGTGCGGGCTCCTGGGAGTCCAGCACAAGGCCTCGTCTAGGCTGGAGGTCAGCAGACTTTGCAGTAAAATATTAAAGTGCACATTAGCTGCTTGGCTTTGCAATTATACTTTTATTATTGTCAAGATGTTCTGCTTTGCAGGGTCATGAATATTTTCCTTGAGTCACYAGAGGTCATTGGAGTTACTCAGCCCTCAGGCTAGCTCCTCCCTGTCCTGCCAAAGACATGTGTGGGACTCGTAAAGCATGCTCTGGATTGCAGTATTGCTTAATTATCCTCTTAGCTCTAATGAAGTGCACCCTGACTAATGGTGCAGTTACAAACAACATGTTGCTACAATTTGGACCATCACCAAGATCTTCTTTATCACTAGGCTCATCAAGGTAGCGCTTTAGAAGGCTGAAGGGCAGTGTGCCCAATAAAAAAAAATAAAAAAAAAAAAACATGTAGGCACGTTAGAACATAGCTGGAGAAGAGCAATGCTCTGACTAGAGCTGCCTCGAAGTTCTGTGGTGCAGGTGTCTGGCAGGAAGAGCTGGGTGACCCCTGGGAAGCCAAATTCTTCTGTGTTGCATTGCTGTGATCCCAGGTGACCCAGAGTATTTACRGAGAAGCAGTATTGATTGCTGAAGCAACCAATGATTTTTGTTTTCATTTTCTCCTGCCAGGCACTGTTAAGGTAAACTGGGCTGTGTAATGGAAAGTTCTGTCTCTAGTTTTGAAATGGGAAGAAGGCCCTCCCAATAAGCAACCTCTTTTCTGAGTATCTTTTTCTTAATTAAAATTGTCAAAACTTGATTCAAAGTGCAAGGATACTGTGGTTTAATGAGCAGGGACTAGAGCTGGGATTGCAGATCAAAATGCTGCTTTGCAGATGTCAAGGACTCCTGGTAGTCACTGAACAAAATTCCTTGCTCCGCTGTGTTGGCTTGCAATGTGAGTGAGCTCTGTCATCCAGTGACATTCCCTATCGAGATATGAATTTCAGGATCTCAGGAATGATCCTTTTCAACAAGAACTTTCCCCCACTCTCACACAAACACTTCCGAGGCATGGGCTTTTGGCCTTCATCCTGGATTGGACTGCAATACGTGGGAGGTATTTCCCAAGTGGCTTCCAGGGAAAGGCCTGTGCTCTTCCCTTCTCTCAGCRGATCTTTTCCTGTGCTCATAAAGTTTTTATTTCAAGCCAAATTGAATGGAATCCTCAGCTAATGGAGAGATGCCCTTTTTTCCTTTTTTTTTTGTTCTCTTTTTGAATGAGATAGGAATAASCCATCCTCAAATGTTGTATATTAATGCATTTCCTGGCTGGTTGCATTTCTTGTAGTTCTGAATGAATGTCTTCATGGACGTGAGCTGGAAGTGGCAAAATTCATCCTCACTTTTTAGTGGTTTCCCAACTTTCTCCTGCAAAAAACTGGATTTAACATGTGTCAAGGGGACAATTTCTATGGCAGCCCAGGGTTTAAGAAGTATATTGGCTGCAGTGTGAAGTTCAAGAAGAGTTCAGATCCGGACCGAACTTTGAAGCTATTTCCTTTGTTGGTAATGGACTGAGGAAAATAAAAATAAAGAAAACCTGGCTCTGTTAGGGGAGCTTTGGATCTTTATCTGAAGTTTGTGAGCCTGGCCTTTTCCTATTTAACAGAGCCATTTTTTCTGGTGCTCAGAATGATGTATTATGTATAGTATGGATATTTATATGTATTTTCACCTCCAGCTAACAATACCTACTTGAATTTGTTAGAACTATTTTTAAAAAGTGCTGAAGGGAGGAAAATTGGGGAGGGCACTGAATGGTTGGGTATGTTGCTAAATATTTTAAATCCAAAAGCTCTCTCTAATGCAGCTTTTCTGGTCTTGACTTTTCTTGCAAGGACTGGGACCTCTTCATTCTGAAGCAGCCAGAGGCGACTGGGGACCCCAAATGCTCTCACCCCCCAGTCAACAGTGCTCCCAGTCCTTATATGTTTTACCTCAGGACCTGACCCACTTGTCCAGCATCACGAATCACCATCAGCTTTTCTCCCCTCTTCCCATCTTTCTGGGTTTCATTTGTCATCTCCCAGTTTTGATCCAGCTTCATTCATTGCCGGGTTACTTAGAAGGTGATAATCTTAGGGGTAAATTTAAGATGATCCAYACATTTGTGCAGAACTGCTGGACTTTGCTGTGGGAATTTTTCTCTTTGGTAATGAAAGCTGGGAGTTGATACAGCACTGTCCTCTTTGAAAAGAACGTGATGACTTGGTGTGTAGGACTTAAGTCKTGGACCTTCCAGCTGAATGATGATCAGAAGTTACATTTACATGTAAATTAAAGTCTGTCCTCTGTGAACATTCCAGTTGCCACCACCTCTGGACTTCTCATCTATTTATCATTTGTGTGCACTGTGAGCACAGTGGGAGTTAGATACATGTTTACTGTCACAATGCTGCTTTTAAATTGGGCTGTGTAAATTGGCTGGAGATGCTTGCTTTTGTTTTGGGAGTCTCCAGACATGGTTGTTGGTGGCATTCTTGCATGACTTGTGCATTTTGGTTTTTCAGGCAACAGCATGGGGTTCAGATGAAGACACCAGGAGGTCCTGTCAAAGTAAAGGGAAAACAGAGGTGAGTTTTGCTTTGCTACAGTGATGTTATGGGTAAATACACTTGCAACATGTGAAATCCACACAGACAATGTCTGACACCCGTTTGAGCTTGTAAATTTGAAGTTTAGCTCTACTGCCACATGTATAAGCACCACCAAGCAAGCCACTTCGAAGGCCCCCTGTCCAAGTTATTACACTTGCTCTGCATGAAATTTAAAGGTGATTTCACTGGTGGAGAGGACACAATTTGTAACACATCAGGGAGTGGAGTGGTGGCAAGGCAGGGGTAGCTTCCTGCAGTGGGGTGTGAGGCCAGGCAGGTTGGCTAAGCCCAGGTCATCAGCAATGAGCTCCTGGCATTCAGCCACATGGGAGTCAATGCTTGCTTGCAGTTAGAGTTCATAGGTGYGTAATTCCCTGCAAGGTGGGAATTGAATCTGCTTGCACACTTCAGTCTGTTCAGGTTGAATATCACAGAGCTGCTTGGGAGGCAGGTGCAGTCTGTTAAACTGCAGTTTGAAGAAAGAATTGYTTGTTGTCCCAGAAGTTTGGAGTTTCCAGGCATTTCTGATCCAAYCATGGGGCCTTTCCACCTTTCTTCTGAGAAGCTAAAATGAAGGCATCTATCTAAAAGTAGGAAATGTTTTCATTTTTCAAATGTGATATTTGTGCCCTTCAAAAAACTTCAGGCCTCTACTGAGAGGGTGTACACTRTCCTTAATATTACACTGCAAAGACCTCTCAATCCAAACCAGAAGAGCTGGACAAAGGATAAGAAGGATAAGCACAATCTTTGCTTAGATGTGGATAATCAAGCAGAGWGTGTGTGTCTGGCCCAAAATGCTGGAATCTGCCACATTCCAGTTTGCTGCTTTAAACACAGGTTTATCTGATCTTCCATTGACATATCAATTTTATATAATAAAGTTTATATTACTGTATTGTAATAATAATATTGTAACTTGTATATAGACAAAAAAAAAAAAAACTAGCTTGAATTTTGCTAGATAGGCAACAACTTGCTTCATGTAGCTGTGGAAACAGGAGTATGGACATCCTAGAGCATCCCTTAAGAATTTCATGTAGAAGCTACATTGTACAGGAAACCAACATGAAGACAAAATGGGTTGGGATGGGCAAATATCAAACATGGTCAGCAATGAGAAGAAGTAGGACAAAGCTAAAAACTCCAAAATCCAAGACATGAAGAATTTTTGAATTTGTGTTCTTTGCCCTTTAAAAGAGGTAAAGTCTGTGCAAAGAAAGACGTTACCTCTTTTCTTCCATTTTAAAGTCTGTGAGGTTTAAATTGTATCCTATTTTTCTTGAAGAATTTGAATTTATAACCCAGAATTATTTTGTCAATCCCTGGATAAAGCCGTGCATGTGATTGAACAAATTCTAGTGTAATTTCAATCTATCTTTGTTACTGTTATACCAAAAGTAAGCAATTATTTGAGTATTTTCACTGCTGCCTTCTCACACTGCAAAGGGTTTGCAAAAATATTCCATAAGGATAATGTCTGAASAGCTGAGTTTATGCAGATTATGACACAGAGCTTGAAATAGTTTGGTGGGTGCAGTGACCATAAACGAAGTTTGAGGAACAGCAGTTAAGCAGACTCTTAGACACTTCTTGACATACAATTAATGGCAAACAAAGGTGTTGACTGAGAGTCTCACAAAAAGACAGAAAGCTCCGAAAGCAGAAAGGATTCTGTAGCAGCTAAGCAAACACTGATCTCCCAGGTCTGTATCTACTCCAACTTGTGTAACCACAGCTGAGTCCCTCTTGGAGTGACTCTGCATGTTCACTGTTAGTTACACTGCAGGGAAATGACTCAGCACCAACTCAAACATGGCAAGTTTGGTCTAGGCAGCTGGTGAAGTGCTCTACTCCAGGTAAGTGCAGATCTGACCCAGGGTCGCTGCCCTTGGCTGGGTAAATGCAACGGGTGAGGGCAGCACTACTGTGAACATTTCTKATTCTGATGTGCAATGGTGGTACAAGATGCAGAACTCTGTCTGCCTCWGCTCTGCTTTGTCAAAACTTGACTAATGGCAGGTTTCTACCCAGTACAGATGATTTGATGATAAATATGTTATGGATTGTCAGGCACTTTGATATGTGGTGATAGAGTCTAGAAATAAGGAGAACCTTTGGCTCTTACATTAATTCACAGTGTAGTTTGYCTAAGTTATATGACTGGTACATTTTCCTTGCCCATTTAATAATGCATGTATTTTAAGTGAAGATTCAAAACTGCCTCATGTATTAAAATACCTTTTTTATTGTGCCTATTGAGTATCTAAATAAGATTCTTCCTGCTGCTTAGAAACTCTCTTCCTAAAATACATAGGGCTGTACCATAAGAAAAATAAGGAGCGCAAGAATAAAAGCTACAAAATGCATATCACAGAAGTGTGATTATTATGGTATAATAGTTACTTCACATTTGAGTACCTATCCAGAAAAAAGGCAGAGGAAAAATGTGTCTCATATATAAGGTTACAAGGTACCACTTTTTCTAACACTTCTGGCCATGAATTTCACCTGCGTATTCCTAAATTGAATACAGTGCTTGTGTTTGTCTGCTGTACCTTTTTGAAAACCATTGAAAGTTTTGCAGTGAAGACATGAAACAAATGTGTTGTCTATGCTTTGCTGGCTTGTTCTAATGGCAGATCACTATCCTTGTTAATATATAYTTTATTTTTTGTTTGGATCTGGCTTCAGTTTTGAGTGGCCGCATTTCATTTTRCCCTTCTTCTAGATTAAAGAGCCCKTTAGTTACCAATRTTTATTTTTTACAGAGGCTCTTATATGCTCTTGTCAATGCAGTACTTAGGCTTTTTGATAAAGTAGCAAGATGAGTTCTCCAAGCCTCTTTCTCCAAGTCATTTTTCTACTGCCCTTGACTACTTTTTGTCTGTTTTCTGCACACTCCAATTTTTCTCCTGTATTCCCTTGTCAATCTCTCTAATGCCTGAGTGTGATTAAAACAGCCTTCCACCCTCCTGAGTTCATATACATGGTGGTTTCWTAAGCTCCTCTGCCTCAGGAGATGATGCAGAATTGCCTGGCCACTGTGACCACTAAATCCTTTTCACAGTTACTACTCTTGGGATGTAATCTCCATGCTTATATATAAAGCCCTTTTGTTCCTCTTTCTTTAAAGCATATCTTTTTTTAAAAAAAAGCATTTTGTTTGTTGGATGTTATATATATATATATGTGTATATATATATATATATATATATATATATATATATATATATTTATACAGTGAGGCATTGGCCTCACTGGTAGTTGCTACATTAGCCATCTTAATGTTAAATGTTTGTTAAGAAAAATGTTTATACTGGGCTGGTACCACCTCAGCTGGGGCTCTACTACAACAGCAAGTTTATGAGTGATTTCATGTTGAGGACTTTTTTCATCACAGCAATTTATCAGATTTTAATCACTTAATGTAAAAGTTCCTGAACCTGGTTTTAAAATGAACTCTCTGCAATATATCATACAGTATTAAAACAAACACCTCAGAAAAGTCTCTTTCATTRATGTTATTTTTATCAGCTAAAACTTGTGGTTTCCTCAAAGAAGTGTACATGCTTTGCTTGCCATGTCTCTGGAGAGCCACTCTGGCTTCCACAAGTAATCATTCTTATTTTTGCGGCATTTATAAAGTGTAGCATGATCAATATCTTTAAACTGTCCCCTGGAAAACATCCACAYTACTGAGAGACAGTGCAGAGAACAAAGTCAGCCTTTCTTTGTGTCTTCCAAATGAAATCATCCAGAGGTTGTAGTTAAAATGAATGATGGATAGAGCAGAAGGGGAAGAGGTGTATTTAATTTCATTAGGAGTTGCTCAGCTCCGAGTTTGTAATTGGTTTGTCTCTGCATAACAGTCCACATYCACCACATCTAAGGAATTTTGCCTGACATGGAAAATTGTGGCTTTTTAAACGTTAGAACTTAGGTCTTTCTTTTGTCTAAGCACAGAATTATTTGTAAACTTTCCAAAAGCAGCACACCATCATTTTAAACTGTGTAAAGAAACCATTTGTGAAAATGACAGTGAAAAATGGCAGCTCTTACGTTCTGCCCTAAGCGCTCGGTGTAGCCAGGAGGGAGATGACACACTACTAACGCTTCTGGAGCAAAAAAGAAATGAGAGAAATGTCTGATAGGCATCCAGCTGGGTTGTCCCACTGCACTGCCAGTTCAGCTTCTTTTTTTTTTTTTTTTTTTTTTTTTTTTTTTTTTTTTTTTTTTTTTTTTTTNTGTCCTGATGGTGTGGACACACAAGGTTATAGTGAAATCCTAGCCCAAGGCTTCAGCCCAGTGGAATGGGATTGGTGCATAGAAATCACTCGGCCAATGAAGGAATCAGCTGTTTTGGGCCTTCCAGTGGCTCTGTGTCACACAGAGGATGCTTATCTGCTTATGTGGTGGAACTGGGAAACTCCACACCACTTTAGAGTAATAAGCATCCAGGCAGGAGAGACACCATAGAAGTCCCCAGGGAAACAAAAGTAGCTGGGAGGCCATCAACTATTTTTATCCCTTTTGTAACTGTTCCTAGAAACCTGAACCTGCATTCCTATKAATTCTGCTAAGCTATCAATGCAGAATAGGCCCCCCAGTTTGATTAGAAGTCTGTTAAAGAACATTTGGGTGGAAAAATCATTAGCAATTCTCTTTGCTACCTGTTGCACTCAGAGAAGGGAAGTTTGGCTGGGGCCTTGGCTTAAACAGAGTAACAAAATTGCTTGTCCAAAGAAATAAGTACAGATATCTGAGAGTGTATCAATAGCAGTGCTCAAGAAGAAGATGGGTCTTGATTATTTTGCAAGAAGTAGGGATAAACCGCAGCAGATAAATTAAATCTGTGCTGCACTCTGAAATGTCACTGAGGGGGTAACTTGGAGTTATGCTGATTCTCTGAACTCCAGGTTGCACTCCAGGAGTTTGTGTTTCTCTACTGAGGATTGCAGACTCTCTGCAACAGCTATTTTTCTCATACAGTGTGTAACTGTAAAATATATCTCTATGTGATGAAATAGTTTTAGCCTAAGAAAAAACATTAAAAAGGGGGTCTCTGACGACAGGGCTTGAGTAGTTTATTCCAACTAGAAGGCCATTAAAGTAGTGCATCTGTATAGCTATGCTTTCACAGAAAAAAGTGTCTGTACAATGAGATTAAGGGTTTATAACATTTTAGAACTCTGGTGTTAAGAGATGGCAGACTAAACAACTAAGAAGCATCTACAGCTGGCTTATTTGCAGCAACCTGAAACTTTTTTAATTTTACCTGAAATGGAAGCTGSAGAAGGTCAGCCCCTCCATTTGCTGATCTGTCCACATAAATGAAGGTATAACAGGGCMCCACTCTTGCTTCTCGGGTTTGAATTGTGCTCTCAAAGCAACTTGATATCTCTGTGAGCTAGAAAGAGATCTGGTCCTGTCCACAGTCATGGACATACAGCATTCACAGACAGTGGGTGAACAGCAATTCTAAATGTTACAAAAATGAAATAAATGAGAATAGGGTTTAACTGAGAGAGTGGGCAGGGAGGGTCTTCAGTGMAGTTTGTTCTGACTGTGAGATCCTATGCCTGTACTGTTGAGCATTAGGAGCCTTGTCCTCTTCCTTTCTAGGAAAACAAGAGTTATTAGACTGGAGAAAAGTGATACCTTCTACATTTATGGCCCTATCTCAATAAAAAGACACATACCAGGAAATTTTGAGGAAGGAGCAAGAACCTCAAAGTGTGTAACATGCAATTCATAGGAAAATCAGAAATATGCTTAATTCTCTGGCAATGAGGCACAGGTTTTTATCAGCTCTGCCATATATTTAATAATAATCCTAACTAATATAACTGAGTTATTCTTATTAACCATATAAATATGCAATCTTCCCCCTTATTTAAATCCTTAATCTCTTGATCCCAGTAATATCTTTTGGTGATGAGATTTGCAGACTGATCATACACATATTTAACTGTCTGCTCTGTAATGTGAGAGCAGGATCCAAATACTGTCTTGTCTGGACAGAGGTGAGTTCAAACCTGCCAAATGTTCTGGTTATATTAAGGCCCATCTGAATTTTGCTTCCTGTGTGCCTAGAGTTTTCCAGCCACATGGAAGAAACTTCATTAAATAGCTCCTATTTTCTGTAGGGATTTGTGAGATCACTTTACTAACCAATTGCCTCAGCTATGGCTTGTTGCAGAGAGCACTGTATTGAATAACTTTTCAGTGCAAATCCAGGYTGGTTTCAAGAACACAGAGAGGAGGCTGTTCCTTGATATTTATTTTGAGAATGGGGTAGAAAGAGGATCTAATGTAAATCTCCCAGACACTGTCTTGAGAAAAATCCTGCAAGCTGGAGCGTTTAAGTGGTTTTGTTTCTTCTTTGCTTTTGTTGGAGGCTTCACAGACTGATGTGGCTGGCTATGGGTACGGCAATAAAGAAACATGAGATGAGCACTTCATTCCTCTTTGGGGCAGGCAGGCTGGAGAGATGTGGTCTCAGACCTTTTTCTCTGTCCTCTAACTCAGTGTGTCATCACAGCAAGTTTAGCACCTGAATTGTTTTGATTCATCCAGCTGAGAGAGCAGAGCAGACAATGTACATCTGTTTCAGAACATTACTTAGAGTGTATAAATTGCTTTGAGACCAGTGCATGAAATGAGCATATTATCATTGCTCTTCCTTCAGAAGCATGGAGTGCTGCTACCATCATCAGTGATGCAGCTCCAGGGAAAATGCCTGCTCAGTTAATTCACAGGAACACCTACTGCTGGACATGGCCCACACCTAGTGGCATTATTTTTAAGCAGTAAAAATGGAGTAGAAGTGTGCCACAGATTCATCACTGCCAGTAGACTGCAGCACATGACCTTCCAGAAAAATTCTTTTTGTGTGCTATCTTCYCAGCTGGGAAGATTTTTGTAGATATTGAAGTTTGTTAATTCTATAATACAGTTCTGTACAAATAAAGGGAATTCTCCAAATTAGGATTTTGGATTTTTGCCAGACAGAGCTTTAATTAGGAGTACACTGTAGTAGGTAGGCAGGAAGGGGTCCAGCGCATAACTGGCATTAGCTGTTTTAGGTCAGAAGCTGTGCTCAGACTTTGCACAAAGCAGAGAACGGTGGCAGTGGAGGAGCAGCAGATGAGCTCAAATCTCTCTTATTGTGTGAGATTTGAGTACAGAGCTGCATTCTAGGTTAGAYGGCAAATCAGTCATATTCTGAAAACAAAACTCTGTTGGGAGATGACCTAATACTTTTTTTTAACAGCATTCACTCAAGAATTTTTAGCACTTTGCAGTCACACATATAGTGGTCCTAACATTATATGGGATTGAGTAACTGTACTCTACAGAAAGAGGAAATGCTTAACCCAGTCATGGTAGGTTATGCAGACATCTCYAGGGCAGGGAGGAGCTGACAGGGCTCCCAGTGCCACACAGCAGTGACAGGAGTGGGCAGAGAGCAGGCCTTCATCAAGCCCTTTATCTCGTTAAAGGAAGCAATGAGACCTCTGTTCTCAGCACACAGGAGGTGGGACAGTGCTTCTCAAGGTTCTGATTGATGGACTCATGCACAGTCACCATGACTGTTCTGCTTCTGAATTAAAAAGAGTTCACCCAGCTATGAATCTAAGCTCTCATGTTTGGGTGCCAGGCATTGGGTATTTGATTCCTGCTGCCCCTCCAGACTGGCAGCACCTGTTCTGTGGCACTTTGTAGCCTCTCTCCAGGCTGGGCAAGTGCTGCTGGGCTGGGCAAGTGCTCCTGTGATCTTTGCCATTCAAAAGCAAGGATCACATATCATGTCCATGGCTAACACTGGCCACTGAGTTTCTGCTTTGAATCCTTTCCATACTGCAAGTGAAAGAAGGCAGTGTGTAATCCAGCTAAGTGAGTCCCTTCCTTTCCAGATGATAGGGGGTGTTTTTACACTGCTGGGTCTTGCAAATGAAGTCCTCAGTGAAATGATCAACAGCATGGAGCGCTGTGAGACAGGAGCTTGCAGAATGACTGCTGCTTACGAAGGAGGGAGAAGGGATGTCTGCAGCTGTAGGCTCAGCTTAGTGGCAAAAGATGATCTATTGGAGGAAGGGAAGCAAAGTAACCCAGCTGAGGTTGCTATTTTTTAATAAGTTTCCTTTTCTGTCTATGGTAAAAGATAATAGACTTTCTTCACTTGGAGCTCAGTGGGTGCCAGTCATTAGCCATTGCTCATATCCTCTCCTCCGAGGTGGCCCAGGGCCTGGGGCAGGCAAGCAGCCTCACACAGCTCATTGGGATCTTTGGGTGGTCCTTGGGGCAGGTGGTTCTGGAGCCTCTTGCACTGCCTGTAGGAATTGCACACTACTCTTTCACCTCCCTTTTCCTGTGTGTACTGTTAGAAAGTTCCTGCCTTATGTTGCCTCTTCCTTCCCCACTGCTTAACTCCAGGAGATGCTCAGTTAGCCTGATTTGCCCTCCACAGGTCTCTGGATATTGGGCCGTGGGGAGAGAGACCATGACTCTCTGTAACAATGTGAAGGTGATTTTCTGGGRAAAAAAAAGGCAATTGCGGCTTTGTGCTGCCACCCTTACCACAGCATGGGACAGCAGGACYCCCACACCTTTGGGGACAGGCATGTGGAGGGAGTTGCCTGTTGGTACAAGCAGCTGAAATGGGGAATTTGTTATTTCTCACTGGCCTGGCCTGAAAGAGAAACTCCTTCTACCATGGAAAATCCTGAGCACACAATCATCTGGGAGGCAGGAAGTAGCATTCTGTTCAAGCACAAGATTCTCCTGACCAGCCTGGTCTATCAAAGAGAAGTTCCTGATGTTTTCCTGCTGGCAGTGGTTTGAATTATAGTGCAGACAGACCTGCTGTCCTTCACTGGAGTTTGTGTCTGGGTAATGTTTTCAAAGCTGCAGCATTACTGGGAAAATAGGTCAGAAGTATCATCATGGAAAGAGAGAGAATTTCTCCTCCAATTGAAGCAGAGCACAGAAAGAGGCACTTGTAGCTATGACAAAATCAACCTGATGGATAGCATCCTACCCAGGACTGTGCAGGGCTATGGTTAGAGAAATTACCAGCAAACTGGGATTGCACACTTAGACTGCTGGCTCCCTACAGCTGTGCACTGCTTGAGGCCATAAAMCTCAGCCCATGTTAGAGCTAAGGAAGATGTGTATTCCAGCTGCAGTACAGGTATTTTTTAAAATGCAATTAAGTTTTCAAAAATCCTTTGTCTCTGTCTTGTGTCCCTTTAGGAAGAGTGCCAGAACTATGTCCGAGTGCTGATTGTTTATGGCAAGAAGGTTTTTACCTGTGGTACCAATGCCTTTTCACCAGTGTGTTCCAGTCGACAGGTCTGTTTTCCTCTTTTACAGTGATGGAGGGGGCTGGATACATGCTCTGGGGGAGGCCAGTTATTTGACAGGCTATCATGGCTGCACAATTTCAGTAGCTGACTGAAATTATTTTGGTTTTCTTCTTTGGGTCCCTTTGGGCTGCTTTGGGGAAATAAATGTGTACAGTTGGGGAGCAAAAAGTTCATGTTATGGGTGAGTTGGGTCTGGACAAAGTGCCGTTCATGTAAACCTTGGGTATGGCACTAAAACTGGGAAATATAGACAAGCTTAGCTGTGTGCACCTCCTGAGCTGAATACTGTAAAGTTTCTTTTAAATAAATGGCAAAACTCCCTTTGGATTCAAGGGAAGCAGGGGCAGGTCTAAAGAAGTGTTTATTTTTATGATTTTCAAGGCCAGTGTGTATTCAGGAGGTGTCTACGGAAGATTACAAACCTGTGCTTGCACCAGGAGCACCTGATTACACCGGGTGGGTTTGGGGARTTACCCTTTGTACAGAGCAATAGGATCAGTGAGGCTCAGACACAACTTCTTACCTTGGCAAACGATGGATGTAAAGATCAATTTTCAGTCATCACTGAGATTACATTCTCATAGCTACCTGATTTTTAAAAATCAGGGATTTGCTCGTAGGTACTCATGGGCAAACCAAATTCTCTATACCAGTGAAAAAGTCAGATCCTCTTTAAATATTCTTCTCTCTCCTTTTAAATACAGGTAGGAAATCTCAGCAAAATCATTGACAGAATTAATGGAGTGGCTCGGTGCCCATACGAYCCTCGGCATAACTCGACAGCTGTGATTACATCACGAGGAGAGCTCTATGCTGCAACTGTGATTGATTTTTCTGGACGGGATCCTGCTATTTACCGCAGCCTTGGAAATGTTCCCCCACTTAGGACAGCRCAATACAACTCCAAATGGCTCAATGGTAAAGTCATGTGGGTCACATCTGAGCAAGAGATGTATTAAAGTCAGCTTGACAGGCTTGTAAAYCTTTCTCTCTCTTTTCATATTGAGATCCAGACTTATGGTGGGGAAGGGCTTCCGGTGCAATAATCAATGCAGCTTAGAAGACATTTAAAAAGAGCCTGGAAGTATTTCAGGGAAGTTGATTTAGAATATAGAAAGTGGGTCTTACAGGCTACTTAACATATATATGGGTCTCTGTCTTGTGAGATGACCAAATACATCATTTTAACAAGAAAACCACTCAAAGATTTGAAGATCAAAACCAACTTGAAGCACAATATTGTTGACCCAGTTCTGCAGAGTGGTAGGTACTCCTTGCTTCCACTGACTCAGCTGAAGATGCCTGGTTTCAGTGCAAGATCACTCCAAAAATGAGAAATTTCACAGCACRTTATGTTCCATGTGAATCCGTGCTGATGTGGATTTATAGTTATTAAAAGCAACTCTTACCCCAGTGTGATAATACCCTGCATCAAGCAAGCTATAGAATTTCAGCCAGTAATCCCTGCACTGAGTCCACACCTTCTGAGTAGGGCAAAGGACTTCCTGTCTGAGCAGACTGGAGTGATGGAGACTCCAATATTCCCCCTATCTCCTTTTACCAAGGTGAATTAACYAGATATTTGAAATCTTTCTATTAGATTTCAGGACCTTTCAATTAAAGATAAGAGCAATGGGACTGTGCACTCTCTGGAGCTTAATGAAACTGAGCTAGGCTTCTGCAGGCAGACTGAAGTCAGTATGGAGACCTGGAGTTTAAGGAAAAGGATGTCATCAAGAAAAACTGTGGATGAGTACCAAGAAGTATCATAGCCCAAATTCATTCACTGAAAACATGTTCCTCTTGTCTGTGCATTGAATGCAATATTCAGAAGGAAGCCACAGTGGAACAGGGTAGTTTAAGGAAGAGAAACAGTAACTGAAGTTCTAGTATGTGACTGGAAAAACGAATGTAGCTCTTGGATTTACAAGCTTGTGCAGCATTGGTGACATCGGAGTAATTTCATCCTGTTCTGGCCACTTTTCAACAAGAAATAGAAAACCTGAAGGTGATTCAGAGAAGAGCCATGCAGTGATTTGAAGCTTGGAAAGCCTGCCTCACAGTGAGAGCCTTAAGGAGCTCAATTTATTTATCTTTCTGAAAAGGAGATAAAAGGTGTTTTGTTCGTGATATGGAAGTACTTACATCAAGAGAAGATTTTGGAAAGGATAAAGTTCTTTAATCTACAGACAAGTCATGACAAGAACCTGTGATTGGAAGTTGAAATCAGATAATGTCAAATGGGAAAAGCAGTACCAGTTGCAGCTGGGTCAATCTTTAGTCATTTGAACAAGTCACCGAGGAAAGTGATGGATGTAAAGCTGTGTGACATTGTCCAGTAAGATCAGATCTCCTCCGAAAGATGTGGTCTAATTCACCTGTTAGTTACAGGATCTGATGGTGGAATTACAGGGTGAAATTCTCTGGTTTGTGTTAGACAGAAGGTCAGATTGGGGATCACAATAGTCCCTTTAAGGTTCATGGTTTGTTTGAAGGAGAAAGTTTGACAGGAGATGCTTTGCAATGCCCTCCTCTCTGTACCATCATCTGCCTCCCATACTTGCCTTGCAGCAGCAGTGGCCTGCTTTTCTCTGTTCTTCTTTTTGCTTCTGGGCTGTAGCTTGAAAGCAATTCTGTACTTCCCTCTTTTCTTCTTTGACCTCTACTCAGAAATGAACATTGTGTAATCACCCTAAAAAATCACCAGGTTTGGGGAAGCATTTTTTAATTTATTTGTTTGATCAAATAATACTCATTGGTCAATCTTTTTCTTTGCCAAAGACACTTTTCGGATAAAAGAACACTTTAAAGCATTGTTAAGTACCCAATTAAAATATTCACTACTAAACCTACTAAATTTCAGATTCTTTTCAACTCTTGTGCRAATAATATACAAAAATCTAGGGGAAAAAGCATTAAGGGTAGCATGTTTCATTACTGTCAGTTTGTGGCATGGTTTTRTTTTATGGACATAAGATAATCTTTTGTGCCTAGAAACTGGAAAGGTTTCATGATAAAAGCCAGATGTGACTGTGCTGGGAGAGTAGCTTGAATGTTTCAGTGCAGCTGTCTGGGGAATCGGGCGGATGCACGCAGCATATTTAACACATCATAAGGTCCACTTCAGAAGTGAATAGGTGAAGCAGCCCAGTGGGAAGGCTTTTTCTTGTAAAATGAGTATAGGTACAGAAAATAGTCATGCATATGCAAAGTGTTGAACTCCGCTTTCACTGAAATCAGTAGCAGCTTTGCCAATAAAATGGGGAAACAATGGGGCCTTTCCAAGATCTGAAAAAAGGTACTAGAGCTATATCYTCATATATCATTATTCCCATCTACTGTTTTTATGTCCTCTGCTGACTCCAAACTCCCTGTGGTCCCAGCTTTGACAGGCTGCATAAATGGAGCTGGCAGTGCAATGCATTGAGCAAGTCAGTGAGCATGGATTGATTTCTAACCTATATAAATCTCTTCAAATGTTTGTTTTTCAGAGCCTAACTTTATTGCTGCCTATGACATCGGCTTGTTCACCTACTTCTTCTTCCGTGARAACGCGGTGGAACACGACTGTGGGAAAACAGTGTATTCTCGTGTGGCAAGAGTTTGCAAAAATGATATTGGAGGGAGATTTTTGCTGGAGGACACATGGACAACTTTCATGAAGGCCAGGCTGAACTGCTCCCGTGCTGGAGAAATCCCTTTCTATTACAATGAATTGCAAAGCACCTTCTACCTTCCTGAGCAAGATCTGATCTATGGCGTCTTCACTACTAATGTGTAAGTTGCAAGGGCTTTACTGCCCTTCCTCCATCCCCAGCAGTCTGAGACTGGCAATGTATTGATTTCTTAGACAGTCTGAGCAATCATTTTTGAAAGGTCGTTTGGTTAATGTGAAAGAATAGATAGGGCTGTGTTATCCATCACAACAACATAGCCTCTAGGACAGTGTTTTTAATCCATGGCTCACAGATTCCTGGAGTCCTTAAAAGGTGACTGTGCAGTTTCAGGATAACTTAATTTGATATAAACCTGGGCAGTGACAGAACTTTGTACTTTTTGGGGTGACAATGCAACTTATAGAGTTTAGAGAGATGATCTAAAAATGACCAACAGAAAAACATTCATCTCCAGCCAGGCTGACTGCCTGGACAATCTGACAGAATTGTGTGAACACTGGAGCTGGCCCATGAGATGAAGAGGTGCACACACTTGGGAGAGAAGGGCTGGAAGGAGAAGAATGAGGCAGATGGGATCCCAACAGCCTAGACTRAAATCAACATCTRTTGCTGTTGAACAGCACTRTAAYAGCAAGGTCATGAGGGYCACAAGGCATTTAGCATTTCCAAAGAGSAGGCTTTACCTGTGCCACAGACTGTTTGAGGTACACAAATAAAAAGCAGTGTTAGAMCTCTGAGGGGAAGGTAGGATTTCTGATCCTTCATAATCACCTCTTCTTGGCTTGATATTGAAAARACTTGTAATTGGAATGATTTAGGATGGCTGTGAAAGCAGAAAGGAGAAGAGGAGTTAATTAAAAAATATATTAAAAAACTCATAATGTATATTTTTAAGTCAGGAAAACTCAAATAACTTTTTCTCTGATGCCTAAGGCTAGGATGGTAAGTTTCAAGCTATAACCAGTCTGCATGGTATTGAGTTTCAATAATACATGTTCTCCAGGGGGGTGTTAGCCTGATGTGTAAACTGGAGAATGAAAATCTGAGTAGTTACTCCATATGGCARATGCTCAAAGTGCCTTCCTCGTGCTGGGCAGCCAACTTCTTTGGGGTTTTCGTGTGCAGTGCTGTACTGTCCAATATGAATAAGGGCCTGTTCCCAGGGAGCCCRCAGCAAACCAAAGAAGTGAAGCTCCACTGAAGTACAAACCTTCCTGTTTTAATGTGTCACCTGCTGGGGTGACAGGGCTTGAACTTCAGCCCTTGAAGTCACAAAGCATCAACCCCAACTTCTTGAGCTMAAGTGCTGTTGGGAGCCTCACTATGAGTCAGCAGAGCCTGAATATTCTTTCCYCTCTGTAAATTCCAAGAAATAGGTAAGTAAGTGGCCACCCTTATCCATCTTCCATGTTTTTTTTTTCTGTTCTACCATTGGCAATGTCAGTCAAAAGTGAGCCAGCAGAGAATCAGCTAGAAAAAATAAACATGATTGAGCACTGAACCTTGACTGTGGACTTGGGGAAGATCTGTCCTCAGACTGAAAGGCACATGAGTCATTCTCTAAAAACAGTTAGAGCATGTTAGCCAAACTTCCCGAACATTAAAAGGAAATCTGGCTACTKCTTTGGGTACTTGAGCTGACCCTTATTTTTTTTCAGTTGGAGAGTATTTCTATGCCCATAGTRATAATGTTTATCTATCCATTTGTCCATTCATCCAGCCAAGAATGGAAGTTGGAAATGAGAAACCTGTTAATAACTGTATTTTATTTATCAAATTGGTGAGGTTTTTGGATGATCAAGGGGGAGACATAGACTAGCCCTGGCTAGAGCAGTTTTCTTCTGCTGTGTCCATCTGCTAAGTTTAACATGAAATGTGATGAGTGTTACCTGTCTCCCTTGGGTACATTTAAGTCACTTCATACATTAGGGATGTTTGGGRTGTTCTCTCTTGTATCTTCTGAAGACAATATAGCATGCAACATTCGTACATTTGAAGAAATTAGTAATTGATAATAGCTGAAGTTAGATCAAATAGCATTTTGGGTCTACAACATGGTGTTCTTTTAAAAGTGCAAAGAGAAAATGTTCCAATTTGTCATCCAACTGGAGAAATAATGGTAATTATTCTTTTAACTTTCACTGGGACTTATATCATGCTGCATGAGCTCTGCATACCAAAGAGGGTTAATTTATGCACCAGTCTGAGTTTCTTTGCAATAAAATGCCAATGCAACASAAAACTATGATTTTTTTGTTGTTGTTTCCAGGTATTTTTTACTTTGAAAGGTTCATGTTTAATGAATTTAGGGTCATCTTACAACAAAGGGGAATTAGTGGTTGTGGTAACACCCACATATAGATTTATTGCTTCGTGTTATGTTATACCCAGCTGAATCAGTGGGAAAGAGAGCTTTTGGGGGAAGCTGCTGCTGAAATATTTAAGATGTTTTTATTAAAATTTTTCTGGGAGGTACTAGAGACAATGTAAAAACTTCTTGGAACTTAACCCGTTCTTTAAACCAGCTAGTTAATCACAGGAGGTAGGAGGTGGTAATAAAGGAAGTTGCACTTCACACCAGGAAAACACAGGGGCCAGCTGCACCAGTTGATGTCACTGGCTTGAGACTGGGATCAAACTTTTCGTAAGGAGGGGTGGGAAGTATGTCAGGCCACAGACAGAAAGGAAAATGGTCCACAGATTTATATGGAAAACCTCTTTCCTTTCTCCTTTCCAGCAAAGAGAAAGGGCTAAAGTGAAGTCCTTAGCAGGGCCCTAAAAATATCCCTTTTTTTTAAAGTATTTTCATTAGACTAGTGGAATTTTATTCTTTCTTTTCYTTTTTCATTTTCTTTCTCATTGTCTTTTTTTTTCTGTGTGCGCCTCAAGGCATTTACTTGTCATCCATCATTAGGTTTGTCTTAAGAGCTGCTGTCTGTGAGCATGCACTGCGTCAGTGGTGTTCAGACAAAAGTGGAGAAAGGTTTGCCCAGCATTGCTTTGACACGTTCAAAGTGAGCTACTCCATCATTCCGGGGATGGAAGGGGCAGGGGGGAGCAGAGAATGGGAAGGCAAAGCAGGAAGTTCTTCCTGATGTTGTATTGCTAGGAAGAAATATGCTGTGAAAGAATCTGTTCTTCTGCTTTCCAGCCTGAAATGGTGAAGAAAAGCTTTTTTTGTGTGTGCAAGAGTGTAATTATTGGTTTAGTTTAAAAAAAATGTGTTCTTTTCAGGGAATTCAAATTGCTTTAATTAGCAGAAAGATACATACAGCAGCGTTTGGGTTATTTAAAAGGCACCGTGACAAATCAGTCTCTCACGCTGGCCCTATTTTTAGTTTTGTTCTGATATTTTTTTCTCTAAACCTTGCAGTTTTTCTATTAAAAAAAAAAAAAAAGGAAAGAAAAAAAGCAGGGCGAAGGGGACAACTGGGGGCAGGTTTGAATTTCAGGTCACCACTTGTCAAATGTCCCTCTGGGTCAGTTTTGTTGAGGGCACCATCTCGGAAGTGCCCTCCAACCCTCTTGAGGCAGGAGATGAGCTGGCTCAGGACCCTGCAGGAAAGGTGCTCCAGGACTGAAATGGAACAGCAAAGGCCAGCTGATCTGCGTGCAGTCTGACTAGGCAGCAGAGCCTCCCTAAAACAAATTCCTTTCTGAAGAGTCCTTCCTACAGCAGCATTTTCCTCACTCTGCCTCTCCTGCCTGTGTGTGCATGGTGAACATTCTGCCCCAGACAAATCCTSTTCCCAGCTGGGAACACAAAGAAGTGAACTGTGGTCATTGAAAACAAAGGTTTTCATGAATTAGCCAGACTTTTTTTGCATGCTGAGCTGCTGTCACAAGCAGCTGGTTTTTCACTATCACCTTTTCCCTTCCACTGCATGTATATGTATATATATATATAATATTAGGTGACATATTTTATAGCTGAAGATTTCAGGAACCCATAGGAACAGAATTTCACCTTGAGAAACACCAAGAGATTAAAAAGTAGGTTGTTTGTAATCAATAAAAGTAGATGGGCTGTTAAAAAAAATAAAAATAAAACCAGACACAAATAATCCATGCAAATTAATCTGTATTCACCTTTCTTGTCAGAAATACTTCCATGGCCCTTAAATCTCTGACATTTTAAAACCAAACTTAAAATTCATTCTCAAAATTGTCACGCAAGTCATCTGCATTTTACAGTTTATTTATTTATTTTTACTCCCTGTGAGATTGGTATCACTGTACATCTACCTAGCAATTTGCATGTAYTTTATTTGAGTGGAGTTTGATGTGTGTTATGATGAAAATGTCAATGGTCTAATGATTAAATTGATTTTTTTTCCTCTTCCCTTTTCCAGAAACAGCATAGCTGCCTCAGCAGTGTGTGCCTTCAATCTGAGTGCCATTACTCAGGCATTTAATGGCCCTTTCCGTTACCAAGAAAACCCAAGATCAGCCTGGCTGCCAACGTTAAACCCCATCCCTAATTTCCAGGTACTGCTGTTGCACTTCAGTTTACAAAAGTCCCTTTTACGTTCTGTCACTTCAGTGGGTTGATTTGTGTASGGCTTATTTTTCTAGGTAGACCCACTGTACAGGTAAATTGTACTTCTCCACATTTATGAATGTTTTAGTCTGTGGAACTCTTTTGCACAGAATTCCTGTCAAAAATTGAATGATTTAACAAATAATAAGAATTTTTTTTTATAATAATGAATAATTTAAATCTCTGTTGCACTTACCACTGACACGTGAGCTCTGAGGATGTGATTCTCGCAATAGAACATAGAGATATGTCCCTAGTAGAACTTGGAAGAACTGAAAGCTGAAGCTAGACAAAGTCAAGCTAGAATAGAGACAACCTATATTTTTTAAACAAGAAAGGTAATTAACCACTGTGACTCTGTAAGGAAGTGATGAATTTTCCATCACTTGATAAGGCCCCTAAGGCTTGCAGTGCTTCAGTGGAAGATGGATGACTTTCTAACACATGGTAGCTCAGCCAGAAGCCRTGGACGTGTTGCCACAGTAACTGGTGGAAGGGGACACATGTGGATTGTCACAGGGGTTCCTTCACTGTTCAAAAATCTTCGGGTTTGTGAATGAGCAATTTTCCAGGATTATTAATTAAAGCAATTTGGAAAATTATAAAATATCTTCCGTTGCTTTACCACCAGATCCAGTCAATGTAGTGCAGTGTGTGTGTGTGACAGCCCTGGCAAACCTCAGCCTTCTGAAGCATAAACCCATTTTACAGCTCAGCCCYTTTCCACCTGAGGAATCTGAGGGAGGACAGACGTGTCTTCATGTCCTTGCTTCCCCACAGCAAATCCTTTCAGCCCACTTGTCTGAATCTGGCTGTCCTTTATTATGGCAATTGTACTGAGGCTGCCTGCATGTGCCATCTGCCTTCAAACTGGTGATGTCAGGGACCTTCCAAAAAGAGCTTTACAGTCACCTGAAATCACAGTGAGAGCAGATGGGAGGCAGGTCTCTGCTGCAGGCAGGGACAGCCTTGTCTTCCTGCTGAGGAACCTGATTTCTCCTCCTGAATTCCCTCTTGGCACCTGACTGAGGGCTCCTGCCCATACAGGGTGGGCCAGGCTTGGCCTCTTGATCATTCTCTCAGCTTGGTGCACTCAGAACCAAGAAACAAAACCTTGTTGAAGGTCCAGACATGCCAAGTGTAGCCAGATTTTTGGCGGTGGTGGTGGGTTTTTTAAATTTAAAGGGAATATTAAGGCAAACTGMGAATCAAGGACTTTCTGTCCCTTGCTAGGCTAACACAGAAGGAATTGTAAAGGACTTTGGAAAGGAATAGTAAAGGACTTTGGAAAGCATTTCCACATAGTGAAAAGTATCAGATAAAATGTGGAGTGTGAAGATTGAAGCATTAAGATGAAAGGAAAGGGTCAGAAGAAAATAAAGAAAGGAAAAGAAGGTATGTGGTAGACAAAAGGAAGATTGCAAGAAGAGATTAAGATGTTTTTCAAGTACAGAAGGAACAAGAGGTCAGTGATGGGCCTTTAGGAGATGACAAGGGTAATTTAGTGACAGAAAAGGCAGATATTGCAAAAACATTAAATTAAWTTTTTTGCYTCAGTGTTCACAAAGGAAGATGAGGGAAGCATGCCAGAAYTTTTTTTTTCTTGCAGAGAGGAAGGAGAAATACTGAAGGATGCAGAGGATCAGGACAGTGCAGATAATCAGGAAATTAGAACAAAACAACATTAAACCAAAGCAGAGGGATGCTGCATCAGCACATATGCTGCCAGTAGACCAAAGGATTATCTGTGACTTGCTGAGAACAGAAAACAAAACCAACAGTGACAGTCCTGCCACTGGAACTTCTTTTAGGTGATACTCTAGAAAGAAAGTGAATGGGGAGAAAAGCATCCAAAGGAAGACAGTGGTATGAACCAGAAGGAGTGTAGGCTTCTATGGAGAGAGATCTAAAAGCTCTTTAGAATGTGGGATGAGTCATAAACTAAAAAAAGACCATTGCAATAGAAAAAAAGCATTAAAACTCACCTGAGGACACATTAAAAACCTCTCTGATGTTTCCTTAGTCTGGTTATTCAGGAAGATGCTTAAATTCATTAAAATGACCATGTTCATAGGTGGTGAGAATGAGAATAACTGTGTTCTCTTAGTTCACACATCCTCTAAAATTTTGGAAGGCTTAGTACACTGGCCACTGGAGTCCATATTTACTGAATGTGTGTTAAATCCCTGACAAYTCATTTTAGCATGTAGGAAGAGAAGGGCTGCGTGGTGCACTCAGCAAAGGCAGTGATACCAAAAGTTGCTTTGATGCATAATGAGAGTGTGCACATGGGAAATTTGTATACTGAAGCTCAAATGCTGTAAATCAACATCCTAATTCTCAGTATTCAGACTTCTCTTTCAAAGGAAAGCCCAAACACCTGGASCCAAAATGAAGAAAAAGAAATTTGTGGGATTTTTTTTTTTCTAGTGAAATTGAAAATCTTGARTAGCAAAGTCATTCATAGAAAGAGTGTGGAACTTGGCAGGATTTGGTTGTACCACTGTCTCCTRTTGTCTTGGGAAGATAAATACCCAGTCACCCAGCCACCTTCTGGAGTAATAAATTTTCTGCCCTCCATGCATGACATTGTGGGGAACAGTAAGATCTAGCCCTGGCTACTGACATGGACCAAAAAAACAGTGCTGGCTTTTGAAAATGTTGAGGTCTAGAGATTAGTATAAGGTAGAAACTCAGGCCTTAAAATGCACTGTCCACCTGGCTGTTTAAAAGACACAAGATGAGCTCTTTTTCTCCCCTGTTCTYACTGGACAAGGGAACTGAGCCCTGTTTCAGTGCCTCCCTTTTTGCTGGAGRATGAGTGGTCATAGCTTGATCTACCATTTGCTGTGAGGAGAGAGAGTGTGGGGAGGAGGGAGCTCATGTTTAACCTGCCTTGCTTCAGATGGACCTGGGGGGAGCCTGTCCACATCMAAGAGAAGCAGTGTGATGAGTTTGGTTCTTTGATGCAAAACCAGACCATTTTTTTTTTAAACTCCAGGTTTTGTTCATTGTACAGACTGGCATGCCAGGTAGAGTCTGAAGATTGCTTGAAATGCTTCAAGGATTTACCACCACAAAAACTTTCTCTCTGCTGCTACCTTTAAATATTCCTACAGCTAGTTTTAATACTTCCTTTTTCTCCATGGTTTGCCAAAGCCTTTTGGCCTTTTGCTGTGCTGRTTGAGGGTATCACAAGGGAATGAAACTCCACATTGCTGGTCAGTGGACCACCTAGGAGAAGAGTTTTCAAAGAGTGGGCTACAGGCCAAACCTAGGTTAAGGACCTGTGAACAGGCTACGTGCCTGATCCTGTGACCCTCACACAGACTCAACTTCCTAGGAAATCAACAGAACCTGACTTTCCATGCAGGGGTAGGGAGAAGATGAATTTTCTGAAATTCACTCTTGTGTATCTAGTGTGGGACACTGAACGATGACAGCCCTAACGAGAACCTGACGGAGAGAGTCCTGCAGGATGCWCAGCGCTTGTTCCTGATGAATGATGTGGTACAGCCAGTGACTGTCGATCCATACGTGACTCAGGACAGCATTCGATTTTCCAAACTGGTGGTTGATATTGTTCAGGGGAAGGACACTCTCTACCATGTGATGTATATTGGAACAGGTAAGAGCATCAGGGCTTCAAACAGTTCCTCATGCTTGCTTGTAGACCTAGCAGCCCTGGAAGCCCGGTTGTGAAGTCCTTACGCAGTTGTCATTCAATATGATTTTGGCACAAAACTGAATGGAAGTCRTTTGCCTGAGTAAATTAAAAGCAGGATGGAGGACTTGAGGCAGAGTCCCAACTGATCAGACCATAAATCTCCATTGTATTTTAAAAGAACAATAACATTTCTCTCCTCATATAAAAACATGTTTCAACTAGTCAGGCTAATGCATAACAGTGGGGCAGAGYAGAGGTCGCTGGAATGCTCTGTGGTTTCATGCATGTGAGTTGCCTCTCAGTGCTCTGASAGACCCATCTCTGAATAAGCAGTAGTAATGCATGACCTGCAGGCTTGCCCAGGGTTTTAATTATGTTTTTCTTTGCACTTCCATGTCCCTACTGGTGTATGACTCCAGTTCTTTCAGGAATGGGCATGCACTGAAGTGCAAGGCAGATAGGGAAGCTGAAGCAAGTGATTTTTTTTTGTGGGAGCATAGCAAGCCTGTAGTAGAATTAAGTGTATGATTTAGTCTCTTGATTTCAACTTCCACCCTCTAATTAGCAGGACACATTGCCTCTTCTGAAAAGCACAGATATCTTGGATAAGTGGAAGATACTGAAGAAGGACAAAGTGTTACAAATGGTTGTCTTAGCCCATATTCATACCAATGATAGAGGTTAAATTAAATAGTTGGATTAATCAGAGCATATGGCCAGCCTCGTGGGTATAATGTTGTTATCCTCTATTGCAGAAGCTTTGACTTTAGAATAAGATGGATTGCTTCCATAAGTGTTAATTTAATCTCACATCTGAATGCAGAGTCATTGCCTCATTCTCATGTTTAGGAGACTGGACCTTCAGGACTSTGTCATAATTTATCTAACTTTTACCACCACTTATTTCAAAAGTGATCATCTCGGTTTAGCATTTATGTGTTCTAGCAACACTCCCACTGTGAAAACCTCCATAAACATTAATTATGATGAGAACATTGTATTAAATGGAAATACAACATAGTTCTGCCAATATGATATCTTGATCTTTAAAGTGAGGAGTCTAAGCTACAAAACCTTAGAGAAAGCTGAAATACTTCCTGCCTCAAATCATTAGTGTAGAAAGATCCAATGTCATAATCATAACTCCTTGTTCGTGTTTGCTTTCTGGTCCTGGTTAGTAGCGACCRAAGAGCAAGATCTGCTGGAAACACTTAAACCTGTGAAATGCTTCAATAGAGACAGCCTTGGCCAGAGGCAGCTTGTTTTCTGAGCACAAACCCAGTCTCAGGACTGACTGAGCCAGACTTCAGTCCTGTTCCACATGCAGGGCCCTCCTAAGCAAAAGGGCAACATCACATGGCAACCAGCCCCACCACTATGAACTGCTGAGCTTTGTCACCAATGCAGTTGTTGGGCAGAAAGATTTAAGTTTCAGGAACAATCAGGGCTGACAGACCTCTTGGGGGTTTCAATGAAAGATGCTGTTGCCCTCTTCCTCCTGCATTAATCTCCCACAGCTTAGCAGATCTTTAAATKGTTTAGGTAAGAGCACTGTGAGCACAAATGTGTGTTTCTGTGTACGCACTGCTCATGCCATAACATCCCCTTGTCAAGCTGGCTCCTTCCAGGAAGAGGATCAATTAGGTCTGTGACCCATGCAGTCATTACRGAGGCCTCAGAGATTTCCAGCAGAGCTGCTGCATCTGTTGTCATTTGTCATGACATCAAATCACACTGATCAGCTCCATAAACCAATAGAAATACGCACTCRAGGCACCAGAAATGATTCCTGCTATCCTGGGTCACCTTGCTCTGTAACTGACTGGTAACGGGACCAGACTCCTCTGCCTCAGTGCTCCAACTGGGAAACACTGCCAGGTACTCACTGTCCAGATGGTTCACATCCTTCTGAATTCCCATTAAAATGCACTCTCAGGTGGTTTCTGCTGAGGAGTGTAATGGTGTAGCTGGAACTCTYTACCATGGGCAGCAGGTGACCCAGAACTAGGTTAAATCAGCTCTGTAAAGGTGACATTAATATTTCACTCTTTAGGCAGGTATGAAATGAAGCCATTGCCTCCAAGATTTACTTGTGCCTTGTTTCTTGTTCTGTTAGAGTATGGCACCATCTTGAAGGCCCTTTCTACCACTAACAGGAGTCTGAGGAGTTGTTATTTAGAGGAAATGCAGATCCTCCCTGATGGACAACAGGAAGCAATAAAGAGTCTCCAAATCCTACACAGCGACAGGTCACTCTTTGTGGGCTTAAATAATGGAGTGCTGAAAATTCCTTTGGAGAGATGCTCCATGTACAAAACAGAAGGGTAAGTAAACTTACAGCTCAGATGTATCCCACTTCAGGTTAAAAAGAAAAGCACCAGGGTAACATATACCAGTCTGATTCAGTTTAGAAAGCTGAGACAAAAACACTGCTGAAGTGCTTCTCCTGATAGATACATGTGTGACAGGTGCAATGAGGATAAGCAATGTTTTTTTGAAAATGTTAATTAGTCCTCATCAGTATGTTAAGGAAGGGCTTCCAATATTTACGTCTTATTTTTAAAAAATTTCATATTTGAGTGTTGCTTTTATTAAATCCATGTGTTTTTCTGGTGGTTCTTATTGGCAGCGTGGCTGAAGGTTTCTGAATTTGGGTTGCAGCCAGCCTTTCCTTGCTTATCCGAGTGATCACCTCTCAAACATAYGATGAGGCAGGGCTGGGCTGTGTGGCAACTTGTTATTGCTTTTGGAAATCAATAGCTCATCTCAACTGTGTGTGACACCTCTTACACCTGGATAGATTCTGTGCCTTGATTGTGCCTTATAAAGGGAGAAGGAAAATGACTTTTTCTAATTGTCTGCCTTGGCTCCAGAGCAGTTTTCCACACAAAAGTRTAGAAAGTTTTTGCATCCAAGTGGTACCTCTCCATTTAAGCTGGTGAAAGAGTGTGATAGCAACTCTTTGAGACAGATGCTCAAATAATCTCACTGGGTGCTGCGGGCATTTACTTGTTTACATCTCTTGAAAATACTTCTCCTTCTCCTCTCATGCTTTTGCCTTGCTTTCCTCTGTGAGAGTTTTGTGTGAAACTCATGTCCTCCATGCTAGACAAGAGGAAGGATTTTTTTTTGTTAGCAATATCTAAACGGATTCCCTCTTCCATGACCTACTTCAAGATGTCCCTGTTCTCTTGCCAAAAAAACTGATATAGAAAAAGTCATCATCATTTTATTTTCAACAAGTAGAGTTTATCTGTCAGCTTGTACTAAATCCATATAGGTCTGAATATAAAAGTGTCAGCTCTTTCTATTTTCACTGAACCTCTCAATTATCTCTCTCAGAAAATATACCTTGGTCATTATTGCAGTTTGACACAGAAGTGTTTAATGTGTAAAGGTTTAGTTGCTTATACAAACAGAAGGACACAAAAGTGTTTAGTAAGAGAAAACCACAGCTGGAAGATGCCATCCTGTCCTCAGCCCTTGAAAGTAGAGATTTTAAATGGTAGAACATAACAGCTGTCYTCTTCAGGCTGTCCTGTAGAGTCTCAGTCTGAGAATGTTTATGCATGTATACATATATATGATCCAGTTTCAAGAGAAATGCGTTCTTCCTTTCCTTTSCTAATTCTGAGTTCATCTTTCCTGTAATTTATAGGTGCTGTCCTATTTTCAGCCTACTCAAGTACTTTGTATGACACTTCCATTAAAATTTAAATGGTGGAGGTTTGCTCAATTGCCTTAAAATGGGGCAAGCAAGAAAAAAGCAGTGAGTGGAGAGCAGATGTGTGGGGTACCCCACAGGAGCACCATATTTAGGATCTGCAGGCTGCAGAACAGTCCCCTGCTTGTATAAGCTTATCCCAGCAAAAAAAAACCAAACCTATCCTCACACAGGTTCCCTTGCCTGCAGGTGACCAAAAGCAGCCTCAGGTTTATGCACKCTGTGGCACTGAGTCCTGGATGAAATTACTGGGACGTTTCTGTACTAATGCTATTTTTTTTTCTAAAACAAACTTTCTGGAGGCACTTTTCAGTGAAATAAGGAACCAGCCCTGTTATTTAGGGCAGGGAGACTTAAATTTTGCCTCAACCGACTTGTTTCATGATAGAAATCAGCAAGAGAAACCAGCCATGGGGCAAGAGCAAAAGACACAAGATAGGGTCTCCTGACAGCATGGTGGAGGCCAGAATTTGCTGAATTTGGATGCTGGCCATTCAGTGTGCTTATGTACATCGCAAAAGATCCTTTGCCATGTAGGTGAGTCCTGTGGAGGGACAGTGCATTTGAAAAAAGATAGGAAAAAAGGAACACATAGGAATTCCATTATTTATGTATTTGTTTGAAAGGATATTTGTGATATTACTATTACACTTTAAGCTAAGATTTTTTGTTTTTTTTATTTTGCTAGGAAATCATTCAATTGCAAATTTTTCATCTGCAAGTGTTGTAACGCTTTCTCCCCTTGGTATCCTGGCTATGTAGGTGATAAGTCAATTTGACCTGCTTTGTATTTCTTTCAATCCTAACAGTATCAAGAAGGATATTTTAATTTCCTCCAGTGCATTCCACCTGGCACTTCTCCTGGGCAGTGATTTATTGCTTATTGTTGTGTCTCTGTTTAATAAGCGCCAATATTTGGGCACCACGGGAAGAAGGGTTCCCACCCCTACAACACTCCCGCTTACTTTTTTGTTGTGCTGTGACTTCGTGATTGGCCTCCTTGACAAGCTCYGGTTTCAGCAGTTTTTATAATCTAATTGTTTTGGTGGTGGGGCTCTGGAAGCTTGGAGGTGATGGAAAGAATTTGTGCCTCCCAGGAAGGAATACAACATTGTTTGTTGTAAGCTCTGCCTTCTGTTATCAGGAAACTTTTCAGCCCTTTACACCCGGGGGGCTGATGTGGGTTTGTGATTGCCGATACAGAGCTCTTGCCTTCACCCTGCCTTCCCCCTCCTCCCTGGAACAGGCAATCATGTATCGAGAGAAAATTGACCCTCGCATTGATCCCAACCAGCGATCTTTGCTGCTCTGCTGCTTTAAAACCTCGGGGCTTGGAACCGAGGCTCAGAATTGGGGTAGAGGGAAAAACAGCAGCAAACGGAAGAGATGGAAAGGGATAAGGATTTCTGCCATCTCCTTTACTGTTTGTTTATTGACACGGCACCAATTTAATCTCTTAAACGGTGACCAGTAACTCAGCCCCATGTCTTGATGTAGTGGGTATTTGAGCAGTGTTTTGTGTGTGCCCACTGACCTGTCCAATCTGTCTTTTTAGAGCAGACACTCTTAGCAACAGGGCAACGGGAAGACATTTGTAATGTCAGCTGCCCAAATTTACAGGCTGGACTTGGCTGCAGGGACCTTGCCTTGTGCGTGTGTGTTCCTGTTGTCTTTCCTAAGTGCTGCCATTCCCCACTCTCTGGAGACTCTTAGGAAGATGTCCAACATGAGCAAAACCTACAAGTCCTTTGAACATGCAGAGTGTTTTGAAGGTTGCTTTACTGGGTGGTAGTTTGGCAGTGCTTGCTGCTGAATTTTGCATGGCTTTGAAATCTTTGTAACTTCCCTGCAATTTTCAAATGAGCTTCGATGTTTTACCTCAAGTTGCCCCAAGGTTTGGTGGGGAATATCTGAAGAACCAGTACTGCAGCCTTATCACTGACACCACTCTATCTTTAGAATGTGCCTGAACAAAATCCCAAATCTGAATTTCAGAGCACTGAGGACCTCAGATCTGGAGTGTTATTTGCAGGTGGGATGTATCTCTAAAGGGGTAGTTTAGTATTTTTTTAAAGGCTGGGGTGCAGTTATTCATTTTTAGCAATTGCAGTCAGACAGATAGGAAAATGAGACTGKTTGTTACAGGGAATATTTTATGATCTCTTTGTGTTGACCCTTTGCAGCATCAGAACTGTGTGCCTCTGACCCTGAGGCAGGCCTAGGATTTTGACTACACACTTAAATAAGGAAAAGAAAATGTTTGGAAATAAGACCATACGGTCTCTCAGATATCCACCCCTTCTTCTCTTCCTGTCCTGAGCAGTTTATTTTAATGCATTTTATCTTGATATTAATTCCTTCTCTTCCTCCTTCCCTGTTTTTTTTTCTGCATAAACCTTGAAGTTAACATGATGCAGATTGCAGTTTTGGATATACAGTGTGGCTCTGGGAATAGTTTGGCTTGTCTCTCTGCTCCCTGCCGTGCTGTGAACATCACCCAGTTTGTGTCAGTGCCACCTCAGGTTGCCTTCATGCCAGTGTGGATCCTCCTGCTTCAAGAGCCAATTCCTCTTGCATGCAGCTATGACATGCTCTTGTTTGAACTCTTGCCTGCTTTTTTGACCTGATTGCTGGGAGTTTGCTGTTGAGTGATGCTGAGTTTTTGCCCTCCTGCTTGGCCTAAATTCTGCTGCACATCCCCTCCAGCCATGGTACTTAATGCAAAGCTGGCAGAAATGACTCAGCTGACAAGGACTCTTATTTGCTGACTTGATATCTGTGTGAGAAACACAGCTCACCTCTAAATAGCTCTGYGCCAGTGATCAGACAACTAACTTACAGTTTCAGGTGAGTAACTCCTGAAATGGCTCCAGGGAGTTTTTGGAAGAAAAGGGTCAGCAGCTGCAGTAAAGAAGCAKTTTTCTGCCCTCTTTGTCTCTCCCTCCAAAATGCAACTTTCGCTCCAAGCATGATCTCTGTACCACGATCCCTGTACCACATCCAGCTTTAAGTGGTGATTAAACCAATGGAGGGTTGCTTTGGTGTTTCATGTTATGTTCCTCTTTTATTTTCCTCCTTATGTGGTRCAAAATCCTCTGTAACAAAGCACTTGAATGTAGGATTGTAAAACCTGAATTACAGGATTACCATACTTCAGGAGTGAAACTACAGGGGAATTTGTTTGAGAAATAGTATAATCTGGGAAGAGATCTAAAAAATTTCCCAGTTTTGGGGAAGGATTTAGTTGMATATAGGCCAGAAATCTCCTGACTTCTTCATGAGAACGATAGTTCCTTGAAGAACAAAAAAAGAAACTGATGTTAGGTAAAAAGCATAGAAGAGAAAAATATTTTAAAAGGTAGGGGAGGAAACAACAGAGACATTGTTGTTCAGTGGAGCCCAGCATCCAGCAGATCGCTGAGGCAACACTGATGGCCAGATTGTTCATCAGAGATCTTGAAAATTCAACCTTTTTTCGGAGCTGAGGCTCTTGAAAATCTGGCCCAGATTTTGTTTTGAAGATCTTCTCCCTGACAGTGTAAAAAAATATTCAGCACATTGAATATCCGTTTAAAAATAGAGGCAAAAGGAAAGGTAACA